TGCGATAGTGTGTAAATCACTGTTTACCTCTATCCCATTTAGTCCATGCATACTTCCCTAAGTCTTCTCCTATTTTCATTGTTTATCTGCCACCCTGCCTCTTCTAGTACATTGCACTCCCAGTTCTGCCAGCACCATTTGTTGAAGAGACTATTTCTTCCCCATTTAGGTCCTTTGTCAGAGATCAGCTGACTGTATGTGGATGGATTTATTTTGGGTTCTCAATTCTGTTCCATTGAACTATATGTATCTTTCATTGTACCAGTACCAGGCTGTTTTGCCCACTATGGCTGTGTAGCAAATTTTGAGATCAGGGAGTGAGAGGCCTCCAACTTTGTTCTTCTTCTTAAGCAGTGCTTTGCTCGTCTGAGATTTCTTTCCTTTCCATATAAAGCTTGTGATTATGTTTTCCATCTCTTGAAAGAATATTATTGGAATCTGGATGGATTGCATTATATCAATAGATTGCTCTGAGTAGTATTGACATTTCCACAATGTTAAGTCTTCCTATCTATGAGCATGACATGTTCTATCATTTTTGTAAATCCCTTGGTTTCTTGTAGTTGTGTTTTGTAGTTTTCTTTCTGTATAGGTATTTTGTTTCTCTGGTTAGATTTATTCCTCAGTATTTCATCTTTTGGGTGGGTATTGTAAATGGCATTGTTCTCCTCCTCTCCTTTTCAGAACTGTCATTATTAGTATACAGGAATCCAACTGATTTTTGTATATTGATTTTGTACCCTGCTACTTTACTTTGCTAAATCTTCTAATGAGTTCCAATAATTTTCTTGCTCAGTCTTTGGAATTTTCTATGTACAGGAGCATGTTATCTGCACATAGAGAGCTTTACTTCTTCTTTGCCAATGTTGATGCTTTAAATTTCCCTTTATTGTCTTATAGCTCTGGCAAAGACTTAACAATACAATATTGAATAGGAGTCTTGATAAAAAGGGCATCCTTGTATGGGTCCTGTTCACAAAGGGAATGCTCTTACTTTTCTCGGTTGAGAGTTATGTTGGCTGTTGGTTTTGTGTGTGTGCTCAACTATAAGTGGAGGAATTTCCCTTTAATTCCTACTTTGTTGAATTTTTGTTTTTTATTAAGAATTGGTGTTGGATTTTGTGAAATGCCTTTTCTAAATCAATCAATATCATGTGGTTCTTTTCCTTTTAAAAAAAAAACTTATATGGTGGATTGCGTTGATTGTGTTTCTAATATTGAGCCATGCTTGCATCCCTGGTATGAATCCCACGTGGTTATGATGTATTATTTTTTTAATATATAGTTGAATTCTGTTGGCTATGATTCTGTTAAGAATTTCTTTCATGTATGTTAATGAGGTATATTAGTCTATTTCTTTTTTAATGATGTCCTTGCCTGGTTTTGGTGTAAGGGTTAGGGTTTGCTTCATAAAATATGTTGGAGAGGTTTATTTTATTTTTTACTTCTCAGTGTTAAATCTGCTTTTATTGCACAAGTATATTTATGCACAACTGCTTTGTCTCTAGTGTAAACAGTAAATGAATTTAAAGAAATTGAAACTTTACCCTATACTACTTTGCAAGCATCACCAAATCTAGAACCACAGGACCTGTTGGAGATTTTATCTTGGCTGTTCCTTTTTACAGAAAGTATCCCTTAAAGTCATTTGGCTATTGCTAGGAAATCTGATGTAGAAACTGGTTATGTGTCCTTTTGTCTACATTCTATTGCTTACAGTTCATATATCAGTGTCTGTATAGATAAATGTGTTGTTGTTGTTAAGTGCCGTCTAGTCGGTTCCGACCCATAGCGACCCTGAACAGGGTTTCCAAGGCTGTAAATCTCTACGGGAGCAGAAAGCCTCATCTTTTTCCCGCAGAGCAGCTGGTAGTTTTGAACTGCTGACCTTGTGGTTCACAGCCCGATTCGTAACCACTACGCTACCAGAGATAAATGTGTAGGAACTTAATAATATGGTTGAAAGAGAAAGTATCTACCTTCTCTTTTTGTAGTTGTAATTTCAGTGGAATTTCATGCAACTTGACAAGGAGAAATTCGTTGAAGGTAGAGTCTGTAACTAACATTTGAGTAACAGTTTACATATTATACCATACATTTAAGTGTTTACTCTCTTTGTGAAAATTTAAAAACATTGCTAATACTAAACTAAGGGTTAGAAATAAAGGTTAGGGTAACAAATGAAAGAGATAAAGTCATGTAAGAAAAATACGTTTTTAGCTTTTGATTTGGAAAGTGAGTAAATAGCACACAGTAATCAAAGTGAAAAATGTGTAGCTTGTAAGCCTGCCTCCCACCTCTGTGTTGCACTAAGAGGACTCACAGGACCCAGTGTGTTGTACTCAGAGCTGTGGTTTACTTTGACAACAGAAGGATATAAAATAAAGTAAACAAAGGTGAAGGGCTCATGGGAGAAAGCAAGTTTCCAGTGTTCTGTCCCAGTAGAATCACACACGTCTACTTAGTGCTTCCAGCAATAAGATGTAACAACATGTGTGAAATGTTGCCTACCAGGGAGGTCCCCAGCATATTTATAGGGGCTGGTGGAGTGGTACCGTCTGCCTGGTGTATACACAAATTGCAGACTGCCAAAGGAAGGCAAGTGTTTATTACAAACCATATTGTTGGTACATTCGCTGTAGGCCCAGTGAGCCTCTACTCTTATCAGTTGATGGTAAAATCTTGAAAAGTATCACTAAATCTAAGCTCCCAGACATCTGCCAAGGGCCATCCTGGAATACAGGTCTTTCCAAATATAGCAGTTCACACGTACTGTTTTGACTCTTTAATACACAAACTTTATACAACAAAATGGATGAACCTTAGAAATATAATGTGGAGCAAAAGAAGCCAGACACAAAAGATGGCCTACTCAGCGATCCTGTTTATAGTACAAAAGCCACCATAAGCAATCTCTCCTGTGTGAAGTCAGGCTAGTGCTACCCTGTCTGATGATGGTAGACTTCGAAATAATAGAGACTTTTTGAACTTTGATGATAAAGACAGAGGAGCTGGTCATGATGACAGAGTGATGACATTTCAGTGTTAAATAAACGAGCACAGACTTTGAAAACATACTTGGTGTGTGGGTTTATTATTTTCACTGTCACTGAACCCAAGTTTCCTCATTTGTAAAATAAAATATTAATGAGACTATGTCTGAGAGTTGTGAGAATTAGTAAAATCATGTGTGTCTAAGCACCCAGCACAAAGATGTAGTTATAAAATTTAAGGAGGAGACGAAAGTAGTTTATGGATTATTTATCTAATACACATCGTATTATTTAAATGTTTATGATGATCTTAAAATTCCATAAGGATTATTATCATTTAACCAGAGCTAAAATAATGTTAATACATAGTATTAAGTTTACCTTGTGAACTTTAATCTTTTGGAATTTGGGTTAGATATACATTGATTATTTCTGCTGACTCTTCAGCGATCAAGATTGATTTTAGCCAAAACATGTACTTTTTTTTTTTAAACAATCTGAATACGCAAGAATTTATATGCTTTGTTAAATGCACAAATTCAGATGGTCAATTTTGTTATCATAGGGAAATCAGTACTTAATAGCTGCAGGGTTTGAATTTATATAGGACCCCTGTGCAATTATAGCTTATTAGATAACTTGAGATATAAAACTCGTTAGAATATGTTTTCTGGAATTTAAAAGACTCATCAACTATCATATCACCATCATGCAAAGATACTGTAAAAGCTTGCTGTGATGTAGCTTGAGCTTAATACACTTGTGTCATTAGCATACAACATGCTTAGTCAGGTAAAAATGGAGACTATTTTGAGTACCTAATTGAATTATCTTAAATGATTATATTTGCTGTTAAACCTTTATGACCATATCAATTTCTTATTTTACTAGTTCAATTCTTTCATTTCCGTCATAAAAGAGATGCTTCATAGATTGGAGTCTGAACACAAGACTAAATTGGAACAACTTCACATAATGCAAGAACAGCAGAAGTAAGTAGATTGCAATTGAATTGCACATGGTCCAAGAAGATTGAGGTTAAAGTTATCCTGTGATTGGTTTTCTAGAATATGGAATAGAAAAATTGCTGGATTTTAATTCGGCTATATGTAAAACATTTATTCTTTCAACATATTAAGTTGAAATGAGTTAAAGTGGGGTTTGTTGAAAATTAGTACTGCATTTGAATACAAAAGTATGTTATAATCTTAATATTTTCTGTACATAAAGAAAATTCCATGGTCAGCATTAGCCAGTCATTATAAATTCAGCCTGCTGATCTCTAAGGGTACTTTTCATAAATATTTTTCAAATCTATAATGCCCTGGCACTTTGATTTCTTTCTTTTTCCTTTATCAAACCCTTGAAACATTTGTAGAACATTTTTTATATAGTACTACACTGGTGGTGGTGATGGTGGTTGTGTGCCACCAAGTCAGTTCTGACTTATAGTGACCCTGTATAGGGTTTCCAAGGCCGTAAATCTTTAGTGGAGCACAAAGCCTCATCTTTTCTCCTGCAGAGTGACTGTAGTCTTTGTGATCTTGCATGGCAATGCATGTTCGCACACGTCTGCCCGCACTGTTGACACTGTAAAAGCTTTGTTTTAAGTTATTAAAGCATCCTACGTTTAGTACTGATCTTGCTCAAGTGGACTTTCACCTCTTTAATCCCTTGAAAGCAGCCCTTCGAGGAGGAAGATTCACCTCTGATGAAGAAGTGAAGACAGCAGTACATTCGTGGCTCACAGTTCAGCCTAAAACTTTTATTTTTTAAAATGTTTCATTGTGAATTACTTGATACTTTATATGGGAGAACATTAGCTTTACATTCATCCTATCGTATATTGTTTCATTGCCATGGTTACAATCCCCTCCATGCATCATCAACCAACCAAAGGGTATATATACCCTGCAAGCCTGCCTCTAGTCATCAGCACACAGCCCCTCTTCCTCTCTGAATCTAAAGTCCCCAGCTGCTCCATCTCTCCATGTCATCATCTCTGCCTAAACATTTTAAAATAAGTGAATTTGAAAGTTTGTTGACAGATGGGCAAAGCATATTGGAGATTATGTTGAAAAATTATGCATTTGTCTAAGTTGATTTAAAAAAATTCTGTAGCCTGAGTGTGGATCATTTTGACTCATTCTCATACATAGGTCCTTAAAGAGATAATGATCAAGATCTATTTTAGCTAAACTGTTTGGTTTTAAGGCACTTGGAAGATATTTTTGGTTCTAAGATGATCTCAGTAGTTTCCAGGGTTCATCCAGTCTCCTTGGATCCAGAAAGTCTAGGGTTCATGAGAATTTTAAATTCTATTCTTTATTTTTCCCATTTTGATCAGTATTCATCTATAGAATCTTTTTGTAAACATTCAGTAATAGTACCCAGGTACCACCCAGTTCTTCTGGAAAAACAATTTGTAAAATTTTATAATATACAAAATATTGATAAGTAGTATTTTTACGGAAGGGGGAAAATAAGTCTTTTCTTCCGTCTTTCTAAACCCTGTGTTTCAAAGCATAGACTTTTATCATATAGCATTCGTTGTTAATATGACAGGTTTTAAACCTTGATCACACTAACTGCCTTATAATGTATCTGTCCCTTTGTGAGGTAGAAGCTTTTTGAATGGAAGAACGACTTTTGTCAGGTTTTATGATGTTGTTGCTATGTACTGTCAAGTCAAATCTGACCCATAGCGACCCTGTGTAGGGTTTTTAAGGAGCAGCTGGTGAGCTTGAACCGCCGACCTTGCAGTTCAAATGGCTTTGCAGTCTGCAACATTAACCCCCACAGCGCCATACCATATTTTATGACACTCTAGGTTAATTCTTTACCAAGTCTCTAATGGTCATTTAAAAATGAGATTTGCATACAAATGTAAAGTTTTGGGCAGATAGACTTTAATGGTGTACTAAGTAATGGAACTGGTTATGCCATAATAAATTATGTATGAAGTCATAATTTATTTAGGTTCTAACAAATTCTTTGTTGATAAACTGTCTTGAGTATGAGTAAATAAAATGTATGCATTTCTCTTGATGGCTTATTTTTTCTTAATTCATGTATCTTGCAGATCTTTGGACATAGGAAATCAAATGAATGCTTCAGAAGAAACAAAAGTTATAAATGCTGAGAATCAGGTAAGATGTATTTAAATTACTTTAACTTTTGTAGAAAGTGCTTGATTGCTTTGTTTGTGGGTCTTTCCATGTTTAAGCAGTAAAATCACTTTTTATTGGCATCTATTCAAATCGTTGACTTTCCCATTTTCAGCAGCTTGACAAGGTCTTTAACAGCATTGGAGCCGACTTTCTGAGTGGTGGTGAGCCAGACAAAAGGGACGATGGGCTGCAGAGTAGACATAAAGGAGTAAGTTTCTGCGCTGTGCTTGTTGCTGTTACATGCCATCGAGTTGGTCCCCGACTCATAGCAACCGTATGTATGCACAATGGAACAAAACACTGCCGTCCCTGAGTTAACTTCACATTCATTGCTACGTTTGAGCCCATTGCTGCTGTCACTGTGCTAATTCATCTTGTTGGGGGTCTTCCTCTTTTTCTCCAACTCTCCACTTTACCAAACATGAGATCCTTCTCCAGGGACTGGTTCCTCCTGATAATATGTCTGAAGTATGAGAGATGAAGTCTGGATATCCTGACTTTGAAGGAGCAATCTGTCTCTACTTCTTCCAACACAGATTTGTTTCTTCTTTTGGCAGTCCATGGTATTTTAATATTGTCCTCCAACAACATACCTTAAATGCATCGATTCTTCAATGGTCTTCCTTATTTACTGCCCTGCTTTCATGGGCATATGAGGTCATTACAAATACCGTGACTTGAGTTAGGTGAACCTTAGTCCTCAAACTGACATCTTTGCTCTTGAACACTTTCAAGAGGTCTTATATAGCACATTTGCCTAATGCAGTATGTCATTTGATTTCTTGACTGCTGCTTCTATGAGTGCCATCCTTGTAGAATTCTTATTTATAATTATATGACTTGCTGCACACAAAAGTTGCAAATATTGGTTGGAAGTGGTATTTATCATCTTAACAAAAACTATTCCGTATTTGTCTTTATAAAATTTAAAATTACAAGTAGACCACGACCTGCACCCATATTGAAAATACACATGCCTAAGATTTGAAGCTTGCTCAGCCTCCTACATGGCGCTATTTCTTGAGTGCCTGACTCCTTTGTGCATTCTGCTACACTTCGTCAGTCATGTTGTTGTTGTTGTTGTCAGGTGCCATCGAGTCGGAAC